CCAGAGATTTTATATTTAAATCCAATTTACAATAATATATGTATAACAAATATTTAATTATTATATTATATTTCACTCCAGTCCCAGATCAGAATAGCATATTAGGCAATGGATTGATTATTTTCCAATGTTTTTTGGGGGGGCATATCAACTGTCAATTTTCCATACACTGTAAGTGAAGTTTTTGTTATACCTGCAAGAAAGGTTAGCAAATGTTCTTCCCTCGCTAGAAGTGAGATTTTCAGCACTTACATGTGACCCTTGAGGAGGGTTTTCTCCTTCAATGTCTCCAGCAGCAGCCACTAACCTCAGATGAGACAATAATCAAAGTTTCCAACATGTGTTGGTCAGTGTGAGTGTGAGTTGTAATTAGAGTGAGTGTGAGAGTGAATGTGAGTGTGACTGTGAATGAGTGTACAAGAGCCCCAGGAGTTGCCTAAGGGCACACATGACATTTCTTAGAGTATGCTTCAGCTTTCACCTGATATTGATCAGAGAAACGCACAGAAACTACTGATATAATTCCCAGAGGTATTCTGATACACTTTCCAGAAAGCAACTGAATTCAACTAGCTATCTCTAGCAGTGTCACAAATCCGCCACCGTCGAAGTCTCAAACCCTAAGACCTCCCAATCACACACAGAGCAACACAGTTGTTTCTTCTCCGAGCCATCTCCACCACAGTAACACTTCACTTACATGTTTTCAGGGACTGAAGGGGGAAAATGGTTTAAGTGAGAAAATAACTGAAATTGACTAATGCATATAACTGACTAACATATAATTGATTATGAGAAAAATAAAGAACTCAATATTTTTTACTCCATCGTTTCAACAGTTCTTTAGCAATATCTAACCTTTTACACCAATCTCTCTAACAACTGTTAATTTTTTTATCTGATATTGAAAGGGTTACCTTTCCTAAACCACTTTTTTTTCGTTTAATATCGCGGTCGCAAACCTAATATAAAGACGAACTATACCTCAATTTAAACACAGACCTCAAAGCCACAATCAACAAAAGTTGATTAGCTTGGAGAAAAAATATTGTCGAGCTGAAGGTCAATCATCGTTTTTAAGTCTCCCTTGAGATGGAGGACACGCACTGATGACCCTGTGCGAACTCGTTCGCTGCGGAAACGAAAGGCCGTGTCCTTTGTGGGCTACAACTGGGCGGCGGCGCACCTCGCGGCTAGGTTGCTTCGGTTTCAAAGCTTTGATGTTACTTGAGATTCCGTGGGGCAAGCACGGTGTTCTACGTGGGCGACAGGAAGCGCAGGCGACACCCGCTACGCCGCACAGAAAGCAATCAATTTCATCACAGCTGCTTTCGCCATGGCGCTACCGAAAGATCCCGTATATTAATTACGGCGAGCAAACGGGCCTTCGGAAGATTGGAAAAGACAGTGCACAAACGTCACTTATTGATCAATCTGGTACGGTCGTTACTCTCCCCTGCGGACGCATTTGACCTTTCCCTAGCGGTCGCCTCCTGAGATCCTCAGGGTGCTCCCGTAAGCACCCGACTCTGAAATTTTTTCGAAGTTCCGCTGCGATCCGAGAGCCGTCTTTGCCCACCCCGCAGGCTTTGCGCCTTTCTTGGCTTCTCATCTAGGTCAATCCGAATTTTCTATATTAGCAAGTTTCATGAGCGGGAAGTCGCATCAGAGACCGAGCGAAAGATCGCTCCGCGGGAGCGCTCTGGCGCGGGCCGACTCGATTAACACTACAAGTTCCGGGCTCTTGGCGCAGGTCCGCCCCGCGCCTCACCGGCATCGTTTGAACTTTACATGTCTTTAAGGGGCTTTTGCCGGTCCGAATGGCCAGTAGTTAAGGCAGAAGTGATCGTAGCGATCTCGGACCGAAGAATCGCGGGTCGAGACCCGCCTCGGGCATGTTGTGTTGTGTTCGTCTTTTCATCCCCTATCAATACATATCGTGTTAATCCTCACAGTTACCATAGCCGTTACAAGTGCAATAATGGACGCTTATGACCTAGAAGTTTATGGCGACCTTAAAAGCAAAAGCAAAAAAGGCTTTTAATTATGAACGTACAAGTGTGAACAAACGTAATAAAGGGAAAACGCCATTAACTGAAATAATTTTGCATAGAATTATATGGAATTTATCTGGGACCTAAACAAAAACACATCGCACGGGATCGCTCTAAAGGTTTTCACGTTTACACGTGAATATGAGAAAACGTAAAAATTGAGTTTAACAAGGTAGTTGTATATTAGGAGGGCGTGATCGCTAACGACATTTCTGTTGTGCCAAATTATAAGACCCACATTTTTAGAATGAAACAGAAGTGATGAGATCCGTTTTTTCTTCAAGCCAGTTCGAAAATCACATTGATAGAAATTTTGTGAATTACATAATTGTCAGTACTAACAACATACGGAAGAACTTCCTCTAACATTGTATAAAAATACAGAACAGATTTTTCCCCTGTGCTTATTCACTTACTTTCAAATACAACCTACTTAGGAGTAAATTGAATATGTTATGGAACTTCTTGTATGCAAGCAATTGTTTCCAGTGTCCAGTGCCAGTTTGTTGAAAGAGTCCAGAGCCCCAGTGTTCTAAGAAATGGGTCCTAGATATTTGCCAACATTAACTCACTTTAACAAGAGGGGGAGAAGATACCATGGCAAGCACGCATACTTCATGGGCATATATTTTCCACAATAATTTACTGTTAATAAGTCACTTAATTATGTATTCATTTGGAAGGAAAGGCCTGAATGAATATGCATAAGCTTGATAAAAAATCCCCAGCTGCGGTGGTAATTTGAACCTGGATTCATGCCCCAGGTTAGGGGAGGGTGTTTCTCAATCACTGCATTGATACTGCAGGCATTAGGTGTTCTAATCCTGCATTGATAGAACTCATGAAAGAAATTCAATAAATACAGGTTATCACACTTTAAAATTAGGATTTTCCATAACTTTCCAAAATTAGTGTTTTTTTCCAGATCAAACCCTTGATCTTGGAAACTAAATATTAACGCACTATGTTAGAAAGATAAGGAAATAATGTCCTTTCATGCCAGTAAGGTATTTCTACTCTCTTTGATTATGCAATGTTGAGGTACGAGGTCCAAATCTTAGTTTGATACCACAGATTCCATGAGAAGGTAATTTTTGATAAGCAAGATTTTATGGTCAATAACATCAAAAGCTTTCGAAAGATCTAAAAATATTCCAGAGTGCTTCATTTAAGTCCACTGATGAAGCAACATTTTTTAAGACAGAAAAAAATGGCAGTTTTCCCGTAGATTTTCAATTTCCTAAAACCGGTGTTGCGAGTCTGAAAACGCTTCGTTTTTCCTGAGAAAAGTTTCATTCCCGTATAGAAAAGTCTCCTCTAATTTTTTGAGAAACCTGACAAAAAAAAATTGGCCGGTAATTTGAATTTCATTTTAGTTCTCTTTTTAGAAAGTTGCTGTTTAAACTTATTTTGCTGTTTTTTGAAAATATCTGGAAATATTACTGTGCATAAAAGAAGGCATTGAAAAATGTGAGTTAAGGGGTGAAAACACTTACCGGTACATACTTTTCAATAACAACAATATGGAAATTCATCTAAACTGATTAATATTTTTTTTTGTTTGTTTACAGACTATTCGTAAGATTTGTTATAAGAAGTTCTGAAATTAACATTGTGTCAAAATTTTTTTTGAGAAGGTAATTGATGTTGAATTTTGCAGTTTATCACTTTGAGAGTTCAGCCTCACAATTCTAGCAAAAGTGTTAGGTTGAAGAGACTTTGGCCCTTTTTCTGGATTCTGAATTACCTTTTACCAGATGCAGTATCCCTTTAAAAACAACATGCCCTACTAAGTAACAAGGATCAATGTGGTCGTATTTTATACAATAATTCCACATGTATTGGGGGCATAATATTACAGAGGTCTAGGAATATATACAGAGATTATCCAGCAAACTTACTGTCTACAAACTTCATACAGCCAAATGAATGAAAGTTGGTGAAACATGTTTATTTTTCTTATCCAACCGCTGATCAATTCAGATAGAACCAGATTATAGCATACTGTCTAGACAAGTATTCCATTTTTCCCAATCAAATGGCATACAACACACTGCACCCTGACAATGATCGCACCTGGGTGGTGTGGCAGAAGCTTGGAGGACGCAGGAAAGTTCATCACAAACTCTGTAAAGCAAAAACATTAGTAAGTTTTTAAGAGTCCTCCATAAAAGAAAATTGTATAGCTATGTGATACTGGTATTACAACAGAGTACTCTATTACAATTTGTTTCAAATGAATCACCATATTTTACTTAAATATAAGATGAGATCTTTTCCTACATCTCTAATTGAAAATATGGATCAAAGCATCATCAACAGATCATTAGGGATCTATAGCAGATTAAATTAGTCAGCTGGATCAATGTTTTTGTATTACCTTTGAAAAATAAAGTCATTTGCTTGATTCTGTTTACACTGCACTCAATGAGGCCAAGGATCGATATCGCCATACAAAATTTCAGTTGTACTTTGGCAAGCCCGATGCTGAACTGAGAAAAATCTCTTTTGTTGGGTGTTACTGAATCACACATTCAACCATCAACATAAAATGATTCATAACAATTATTTTTCTTTAGGGAGAAAACCACAGACACACATAACACCACACTAAAGATTAATAACTTGACGCTTTCCCTCACATTACCATGAAATCATGTGATCATTACAGTGATGCAAACATACAAGTTATTAAGATGTTAAAGAAGCAGAGGCCGTGAACAAGAGCACCTGGAAAAAAAGTCTGGTTAACAGGTGAAAATGTTTTGTTTGTGGCTTCCGGAATAAAGATTTAAGAATGCAAATGTCAACTTGCAAGAACTACGCAACTGATGACATAAACAATCACAATTCGCTACTTGATCTCATTTTTTTCAGATTTGATTACTGTCCAGATTTTTTATTCTAATCGATCCCTTTTACCTTGCACAGATCCCGCCTGTTTTTTTATTTTAAATACCAACTGCTTTTTAAATCTCTGACAATGATGGCAAAATTAGCAGAGTGGTTTTACAACCCTTTAAACATCAATTACGATTCTATTGTTTATTTATTAATAAGCATAGACAAACTTTACTTTCATAACACAATGTTTTTATTATCATTTTTTTATGACTATTTATGCACCTTAATCATCCTTATGTTCCAAAGAAACCGTTTTTTTACCAGTTCTTAACCGCATGTTGATACTCTTTCAAACTTATTGGTTGTAACAGAGAAAAAGAAATTTCACAAATGTAAAATCAAAGCTAAAAAGATCCAATTATTATGTTTAAGTTTTTACCTTTGATCCAGAGTATCTATTTACAGCAATGACAAACTTCTCTTTTCGACTCCATGTAGCTAAAAGTGAACCAATCTGGCTTCATCAACCTAAATCTTTTTGAATCTTATTATAGGTCTATAGCCACTCAGTTACCTAGTGTTAATGCCTCTGGGTATGAACTCCTCAAGTGTTTATTCGGTAAAATTGATATCTTATTTTCTACTCATTTTTTAAATCAATATACCTAGCAGCAAATTTTGAAATAACATTTTTTTTTATTTGTGGCGAGTACTCTGGTAATTTTGATTTAAATCCTGCTTGAAAAACTTGTTTTTTAAACTTCATATGATTATCATCATTTAACATTTTTGTCCCTGGCGGCATTTTTTTACCCTATAACTCTGCTATCCCTATTTATGCCCTCTTTATTTGTAATGAATTCATTTGATGTGGAAGTAGTTTCTCTCAAGGTGTCCTCATGATTATTAATTTGCATTCGATTAAAAAAAGTTTTGACTTACATGTGTAAACAGTCCTGAAAAATCTAGTTTTTAATTTATTTAGCAAATTTTACAGCCAAAACACCAAAAATGAAAAAAGGCTTTCAGTTCATAATAAAAATTTTAGGTTCACTATCAATGAAATCCTTGACCTGCCTTATTAACCCTAAAACAACTCTAGAAGCACACACTCCACATTGTGTCATAAACACAGCCCTGAGAGTTGAAAGGAAATGCCCTTTTTGAGTAAACAAAACATGTCAAGCAACAGACCAGTGCATTGCCAATTTTATACCTTTCTTTTGCAGAAAATTTGTCCATACATACAAATTAAAGGACAAATAACTTCCAACCAAAATGACATAAAGCAGTCGGCCACTCTTGAGCAGTCTGGAAAATAAAATCTATGTCATGATGCCATATGCATAATCATTAATTCTGCAAAATATATTATACTTATTATAGAGTATATTAAAGAAGTTGTTTTGCCAACCTGCAGCACCATACAGGTGGTAATTTAAATTCTGTATAACATGTATCACTTTATACAACTATGTGTTTTTCAGTGATGCTTTACTTTTAAGTATTTGACAGCAATTCACTGCATTCCTCCAGAGCACTGGGATCCTTGTTTCATGCCAACAAAACATTTTGCCTAGACCTGAATGACCAAACTGCCACCCTTAAGTTAATAAATGTACCAGATGCACATCAGGATTTTTTTCAGAGGCAGGGGCAGTTCTATATAATTATTAGAGTAAACATCGAAATATGAAATGGTAACCAATTGAAATGCATCAAGATATAATCAGTGTCATAACGTCTTCCAAGGTAGAAACAGTTCTGGCAACATTGACCATGGCTCATAAATGAAGCAATAAATGATGTTTTGCCAGAATTACAAGAAGACAGGAAAAAGAAAAAAAAAAAGGGATTCAGAAGAGAATTTGCATCACACACCAGAATATAAAGTAAGCTCTCAAATTTGTGGAGAGCTCTGTGTCAAAAAGGGTCCCATGTGGTGTTTTGGACCATTCCCTATATCAAGGCTACTTGGGGAAGTGAAAAATAAAAAGGAGAAGAAATGCATGAATGAATGGATGCAAAAAGTGTCATTGCATCAAACTGCCTAGAAACGTGGTATTGTTTTGAGCTTGAAATGTCAAACCATTTTACACCCAAAACAAATCAATATTCAATTTCTGAGTTTTGAAATCATAAAACTTAAAAAGACCTGAAAGTGTCAATTTGTTTGCTAACTGATATTGTGGTCATTGACTAGTCCGTTGTCAAAAACTAGAAGCCTAGGTTTGCTAATAGATTCTTGGTCTTTTTGAATGTTTTCTTTTATTCATCCAGTATACTTATCACCCCTAAAGGAAAGTGTGACAAACTATGACACACACTTCTCACTGATACATGAATACACTGATACCAATCAGGAAGAAGTCCTTCAATTTTATCTACAAGTTTTACAATTCGTGATTGAATTTGTATTTTGTGCTTTCAATGCAGGCAAAATATTACAATATTTTTCTACCTCCGCATTTTTTAAAATTATAGAGCAATTTGAGGGCAATTACCTTATTCTTAGTTTTTGTTTCCATTAAAACACCTACAGCATCATTCTTTCGTCCCCACTAAGTCCAAATAACCTCTGCGATTAAAGTAGAGAATCAAGCAAAATTACCTGCGAAACACAATGTAATTGAAAGCTGGCAGAAGTCTTTCCTGAATGTAAAATTTTGATCTGCCAAAAACTGGTTACTCTGAAAAGTTGCTCTGATAGGTAGGGTATCTAAAAAAGAAACCAAAAAAGTAATTCATAGTTAAGAGCATGCACAATTCGAGTACTAAGACAGCAAAAAAATTGAAGTAAATACATACAATTCTTAGCAAGGCCACACCAAATCAGATTGACATGATCCATGCATGAAATAATGCTTAAGTAATTTTCAACTATCACAGAATGTTCCAGCGATTGAGTTAGGTGGGACTTGTATAAATCTACCGTGATAAAAACAAATCTGAAATGAAACAAATTGAAAAGTTTGGCAAAATAAATTAACATCATTACTCTTTAATATTAAATGAATAAACCATTCTATTTTGGTACCATACCTCTCCAATTATCATGTGTAATTATCACCTGTACTTTCTATGAGAAAGTAAAATTACGCTTTCCAAATAATCTACATTATGTACACCCACATTCTCTTAGAATATAATTAACCCCCATCACTTCATGTAACTTTTTGACAACACTTGTTGCCTTTTATTCTGGGATGATCTAAAACAAAAATATCAATTAGAAAAACATGTAAAACCTCTAACAAAATAAAGAAGGAATGTTACTCACTGAGACACGCTTTGTTTGAGCAATGTAAGTTAGGAGGATGAGGCATTGTAAAGACAAGTTAATATTCGCAGTGCTTTCTTTCTTCTTCTATTTTCTTTCCACCTGCAAATAATTTACAATGTTAATCGTGTTGCCCAGAACTGTTTCTTACCTCTGGAAGACTTATGACACTGATTTATATCTTGATGCATTCAATTGGTACCATTCATATTTCGATTGTTTACTCTAATAATTTATAGAACTGCCCCTGCCTCTGAAAACAATCCTGAGTGTGCATCTGTACATTTATAACTTAGGTTGGCAGTTGGTCATCAGGTCTAGGCAAAATGTTTTGTTGGGATGAAACAAGGATCCCAGTGCTCTTAGGAATGCAGTGAATTGCTGTCAAATACTTAAAAGTAAAGCATCAACTGAAAAACACATAGTTGTATAAAGTGATACATGTTATACAGAATTTAAATTACACCTGTATGGTGCTGCAGGTTGGCAAAACACTTCTTTAATATATTCTTAATAAGTATAATATATTTTGCAGAATTAATGATATGATATGCATCATGACATAGATTTTATTTTCCAGACTGCTCAAGAGTGCCGAACTGCTTTATGTCATTTTGGTGAAGAAGTTATTTGTCCTTTAATTTGTATGTATGACAAATTTTCTGCAAAAGGAAAGGTAATAAAATTTGGCAATGCACTGTTCTTTGCTTGACATGTTTTGTGTACTCAAAAAGGGCATTCCTTTCAACTCTCAGGGGCTGGTGTATGACACAAAGTGTGGAGTGTGTGCTTCTAGAGTTTTAGGGTTAATCTCAAGAGGTCAAGGATTTCATTGATAGTGAACCTAAATTTTATTATTGAACTGAAGCCTTTTTGTGTAAAATTGGTGTTGGTGTAAAATTTGCTAAATAAATAAAAACTAGATTTTTCAGACTGTTTAACACATGTAAGTCAAAACATTTTTAATCTATGCAAATTAATAATCATGAGGACACCTTGAGAGAAACTACTTCCACATCAAATGAATTTATTACAAATAAAGAGGTCATAAATAGGGGATAGCAGAAGTTGATAGGTAAAAATGCCACCAGGGACAAAAAATGTTAATGTTGATAATCGTATTTGAAGTTTAAAAAAGACAAGTTTTCAGCAGGATTTAAATCAAATTACCCAGAGTACCTCGCACAAATGAAAAAAATGTATTTTCAAAATTGTGCTAGGTATATTGATTTAAAAAATGAGTAGAAAATAAAATAGCAATTTACGAATAAACACTGCAGGAGTTCATACCCAGATGCGTAACACTAGGTAACGGAGTGTGCCTATTAGACCTATTAATAAGCTTCCAAAAAGATTTAGGGTTGATAGAAGCAGATTGTTCACTTTTATGTACATGAGTCGAAAAGTTCATGCTGTAAATGAGATACTCTGGATCAAAGGTAAAAACTTAAACATAATAATTGGATCTTTTAGTTTGATTTTACATTTTGTGAAATTTTTTTTCTCTGTTACAACCAATAAGGTTTGAAGAGTATCAACATGGGTAAGAACTGGTAAAAAAATGGTTTCTTTGGAACATAAGGATTGATTAAGGTGCATAAATAGTCATAAAAAAATGATACATAAAAACATTGTGTTATGAAAGTAAAGGTTTGTCTATGCTATTAATAAAATAAACAATAGAATCGTAATTGATGTTTAAAGTTGTAAAACACTCTGTAATTTTGCATCATTGTCAAGAAGATTAAAAAGCAGTTGGTATTTAAAATAAAAAACAGGCGGTATCTGTTGCAAGGTAATAATGGATCGATAGAATAAAAAATCTGGACATAATCAAAATCTGAAAAAATGAGATCAAGTAGCGAATTGTGATTGTTATGTCATCAGTTGTCAGTTTTGCAAGTTGAATTTGCATTCTTAATCTTTATTCCGAAGCCACAAACAAACATTTTCACCTGTTACCAGACTTTTTTCCAGGTGCTCTTGTTCACGGCCTCTGCTTCTTTAACATCTAATAACTTGATGTTTGCATCACTTAATGATCACATGATTTCATGGGTAATGTGAGGGAAAGCGGTCAAGTTATTAATCTTTAGTGTGGTGTTATGTGTGTCTGTGTTTTCTCCCTAAGAAAAATAATTGTTATGAATCATTTTATGTTGATGGTTGAATGTGGAATCAGTACACCCAACAAAGAGATTTTTCTCATTTAGATCTCTTGCAAAATACAAACTGAAATTTTGTATAGCGATATCGATCCTTAGCCTCATTGAGTGCAGTGTAACAGAATCAGCAATGACTTTATTTTCAAAGGTAATATAAAAACATTGCTCCCAGCTGACTAAGTTTAATCTGCTATGATCCCATGATCTGTGATGATGCTTTGATCCTCTATTTTCAATGTAGATATTTAGGAAAAGATCTCATCTTATATTTAAGTAAATAAGGTGATTCATTTGAAACAAATTGTAATAGAGTACTCTGTTATAATACCAGTATCGCATAGTATACAATTTTCTTTTATGGAGGACCTTAAAACTTAACTAATGTTTTTGCTTTACAGAGTTTGTTGCATGACTTCCTGCTCCTCCAACTTCATGCACACCACCCAGGTGGATCATGTCAGGGTGCAGTGTGTTGTTATGCATTTGATTGGGAAAAATGGAATACTTGTCTAGACAGTATGTATAATCTGGTTCTAGCTGAAATTGATCAGCCGGTTGATAAGAAAAATAAACATGTTTCATCCACTTTCATTCATTTGGCTGTTGAAGTTTGTAGACAAGTAAGTTTGTGGATAATCTCTGTAATATATTCCTAGACCTCTGTAATATATTCCCAATACATGTGGAATATTGTATAAAATACGACCACATGATCTTGTTACTTAGTAGGGCATGTTGTTTTAAAGGATACTGCATCTGGTAAAAGGTAATTCAGTAATCCAGAAAAAGGGCAAATCTCTTCAACTAACACTTTTCTAGAATTGAGGCTGAACTCTCAAAGTGACTAAAACTGCAAAATTCAACATCATTACCTTCTCAAAAAAATTTTGACACAATGTTAATTTCAGAAACTTCTTATAACAAAATCTTACGAATAGTCTGTAAACAAACAAAAAATATTAATCTAGTTTAGATGAATTTCCAAATTGTTTATTGAAAATGTATGTACCTGTAAGTGTTTTCACCCCTTAACTCACATTTTCAATGCTTCTTTATGCACAGTAATATTTCCAGATATTTTCAAAACAGCAATAATTTAAACAGCAACTTTCTAAAAAAGAGAACTAAAATGAAATTCAAAATTACCGTCCAATTTTTTTTTGGTCAGATTTCTCAAAAACATTAGAGAGGCTTTTCTATACGGGAATGAAAACTTTTCTCAGGAAAAACAAAGCTTTTTCAGACTCGCAACATGGTTTTAGGAAATTAAAATCTACGGAAACTGCCATTTTTTCTTGTCTTAAAAATGTTGCTTCATCATTGGACTAAAATGAAGCACTCTGGAATATTTTTAGATCTTTCAAAAGCTTTTGATGTTATTGACCATAAAATCTTGCTATCAAAATTACCTTCTCATGGATTCTGTGGTATCAACTAGATTGGACCTCGTACCTCAAACATTGATATCAAAGAGTAGAAATACCTTACTGGC